GCTGTCCTGGATAAAGGGTACAGCTATTATTAGCCATTGCATGAGGCTGACGCTGCACATTGCGTGAACCTGTAAGAGGTCAACTTGTGACCATGGTGAGCACTACCATTTGCATATCAACCAATGCCACAGCTGTCACCACGGTTTACATCTTTTAGGTTAAATTTCGATTTAAACCTTTCGTGACCGCAGGGATTCATATTCTTGGTTCTTTCGGTAAAGTGACGTAGAAGGGAAATAATACAATTATCACACCTGATGATGATTGCTTGTGTTGCAATCGAAACGTCGTGAGAATTTTATTGTTTTATTTTTATGATTTTATTATTTCTCTTTTAGGTTAGTTTTTAAAAAAACACGTGAGTGGCTCTGCACTCCCCCCCCCCCCCCCCCTGGAGACTTGCAGGACAAGCACAGACCCAAAGGCTCAAAATGCCACGTGGCCAGCAACAAACAGCACTATTGAAGTTGACAAGGTAACAGCTTATCATAAATTGGGGGAATGAGATGATGGGAGGGAATTCTAAAGCAGAGCAGTGCGGGCAGAGGTGGAGAGAAGCGGAGTCATGCTGAAGCATGCCACTGTGCTGCTGTGTCCCTTTTGACAAGTGAAAAGCATCACACCCATGCATGCCGCTCATTAAAATGGTCAGAAAGCATGTTGTTTGTGGTGAGTAAAAATACAATGCGTTGCAAGATTAATGATGGCCGGAGAATTTGCCATTTCCGAGCGTATGAAACAGATGCAGAAGCGTGTTTAATATTTGGCCAGTAGAAATTGACGCCGCTCGCATTGTGATGAAACGTCAAAATGCCGCGTTGACATTCGATTTTAAATATTGATTCTTGTTTCTATTTTGGTGAAATTAGCGGCCTCTAGTTGGCAGCAGGGGTCACGTGAACCCATTACATGCGAGGCATACAATTTGAAAATCCTCAATTCATATACGCACGCTTGAGTGTATGTTCTGTGAGCATAATACACTCTAATCAATGAATCATTGCATTGTTACAGCCCTATTCAATATACACCGCAATATCCTGTGTTTTATAACAAATGCTCGCTGCGCTAAAGTATAGCAGAGTGCACCTAGAACAGCTGTTGAAGGCCGCCAGCTGGAGTGCTTATCAAGATGCCATAAATATGCCAACCGCATGATTTAATTGACTGTTTTGCTCTGTATCACCGTTTTAAAGGAAAGTAGATTTTAAGTAGTGTTCACTTGTGGTGGGCCAAGGTCTTTTGAGAATGAAATACTCACAAGTTACAGTAACCTACAAACAAGGAAGGCTTCTTTTTAAGGCCCATTTGTATTTACAAGTCATCCATTTTCGATAGACCAAACCACAATTGTGCACATTTCAAATAAATAATCCCATCTGACTGGAATATATACTCCTGTGAATCATTACACATGCACTCTGACTTTTCAGTAGGTGGCACACTTTGGAAATTAATTGTCCACACTTAATTACTTTGGAAATGTTATGTATGCTTTCCGCTTGCTGAGTGGAGACTCCCGTTATCCTGTGAGCTTTATCCTGAAATTTCACCAAGTATAAATAAAATGGAACATCACCTCGCTGAAACACAGAGTCACACGACTGTGATTTTTTTTCCTGTGCAAATTAGTTTTATTCACAAAACTTTTTGAGCGACATTTTTGTATATGTTGTATACAGTACTCGTACACGTGTGACATTTGTATAACACCCTACACAAAGTGCTGTAGTTATTATTAGTTTGTTTATGCTAATCAATTTAAAAGTCAAATTATACATGGCTCCAGTGAGCATAATTTACAGACATGATGAACACATTTCTACGATGAAGGAAAATTAATTTCTTTAAAAGTGCTTCTAGTGTATAGTGGATTGTCCTTCTCCCACACCTTTGATTTACGCGGTTGGCTATGTCCGTGCAAAAGAAGTTCAACATACATACACGATATTTGAATTTCAGAATGTACCTATATAGTACTCCACTACGGCATAGGTGTGGCCATGTAGCTCTCCGATGTTTTTCAGTTTGCACCATGTGTCATTTCGGTGTGATGACTAAAGTTTCACTTTACATGCCGGGAAATTGTTCAGGAACCGAATTGACACGTAGGCCTCGGCAAGGCAAGGTAAAAGTTAAACGGTAAAAAAACAAGACAAACTTTACCCTACCTTTTACCTTACCACAACACAATCGCTCTACCCTACCTTTTACCCTTTAGCAGGTAAGGTAATTGGTAAACGGTAAAAAGCAACGAGCCTACCGTTACCCTACCTTTTACCCTTACCCATACAAATGACATGATTACAGGGTAATTACTGGGGTACTACTACACATGAAAAAGGTTAATAACGGTAAATGCTAGGTAGAGCGCTTTATTCATATAGAATACTCTCGATGATGCCAATTTTATACGCTTACTTTGAACTCAGTCTGTCTGTTGTTGTTGTTGTCATTGTTGATGTCGTTGTTGTATCCTCAAATCTTGCAACTCAATTTTAACCCACTTCCCAATGTGGTATCGACTGCAAACTTGGTATACTTACGTCATACTGATGACAATACTCTATTCTATCATTTAAAAAATATTTTTAAAAATTATTAAAAAAATATTTTTAAAAATTATTTTTTTTATATGTTATGTTTCGCCTTGGGTCTAATTGTTCACGGTCAACTGACGTTGGCTGTAATTGGCCACGGTCCCTTACGTTGTGGCAAGCCTCGGGGCCACTTCCTGGAGTCGTGGAGTTCTGCCATTACTAGTACGTTTAATAAAAGCGTGTTTTAAAAAAAGTTTTTTTTTAAATATTACTTATTAAATGGAGGCCACGGACTGCACCACGGAGCTTTTAGCGGTAAACAAGGTACCGTATTTACCGGGTAATACTTCACGCTACCTTTACCCTACCGGATAATTCTTCCGAGCTACCTTTACCCTACTCTTTACCTAACCCCTTGGCATGTCGACACCTTTACCTTTACCCTTTTACCCGGTAAAAAGGGTAAACTACCTTACCTTGCCGAGGCATATTGAAACGAATTTTAAACCGCATTCTATTCGATATTCAATTCCTGGAGAAGCTGCCAGCACACGGAGCAAGAGGTTTTTATGTCATATGGAACAACTCTCTGTACAACCCGAAAACTCATCGGATAACCATGGCAAATATAATGACTAACAACTCTGTACAGCTGAGAATTGTGGGCCTCTCATATTTTTAAACATCAGGAAATGCCTACCTTGCTGTGCAGATTGGTAATACATCTACTGGACAGTAATGGTAACATATATATTACGTGCTAATCATAATAACTTTAATAAACATCTAATTGTGTCGTACTTCATACAAAAAAATACTTAAAAAATGTTCCTACACAATATATCACCTTTCTCTTCTACCTCTGTTTGTTTGTTTGTCTGTTTGTTTGTTTGTCTGTTTGTTTGTTTGTTTGAGGTAACAAACTTACCTCAGGGTAGTGAAAGACAAAATCTTCATTTATACAAAATATATGCTTGTTTTCACCGGAGGCCAATCAAATGGATATTTTTCGTTTAACCTGTACAGATTTGTTATTTGGTTGTAATGATAGTGTTTATGGCTATGCAAATATTTAACACATTAAAGCATGCCTAATCAAGCGAAAACTATTTCACAAAGATAATGCCTGTCTTGTGACATAATACACATCGCTTTATAGTTCCTAATTTAATTAGATTTTTCACATCAATTTACAACTGAATGAACATTATTTAATACTTAATGCTACTTAATGAACATTACAGTCATTACATAATGTTCATCGACAGCGTTCATAACGGATTTTTTTTAATGACAATAAAAAAATGACCATATATACACACACATACAGTAAGTTTTAAAGTTATATCAATGCGACATAGCAACATCTATTTATACATAATAACGGTAATCTTTATAAATTAACCACCCTTAAATAATTGAGCAGGTATTAAACTAAGTTATACATATATATAAGAAGCATTTTGGCGGCGCTGTCTGCCATCATGGTGTAGTAATGCAGTGGTTCTTACCCTGGGGTGCGTGCACACCCTGGGGGTTGACCTTTCTGGGGGTGCGAGACGTGGCAGATTTTCTTGGAAGGTAAATCATAGAAACACAAATTAAGCACGGGCACGTATGTACATCTACTTTGTTACATCTACCATGTATTTATTAACATTTTTAAAAATATATATACGATTGAGAACGAACCAAATGGGTGCAAGTAAAGGTTAAGAACCACCGGTGGCATGGCTAGCACACTGGACGTGGTTTCATCTCCCGGCGCTGCACCCAGCTGTATCAGTGCGTAGAACCACAGTTCGCCAATCGGAAGGTCACGTGCGGTCGGATAACGTGTGGGGTACCCCCACCTCTGCCAAGAGGTTTGGGGTCGGCATGAAAGAGTACGGTAGCCTCTAGACGTGGCTCTCCTCGACCTTCTTCTCGTGGGGTCCTTCTCCCAACAGTGGTTTGCACAAGAAATTGCGGGGCCGCGCCTTGAAATTCACCAATTCGCAGAGTAATCACGCGGTTTCACCGTGATGTGCAACGGTCGCCAGTTTTTAACATGCATACGACCTTTCGATTTACAGCTTTCGTGACTGCAGGGATTCATCTTCTTGGTTCTTTCGGTAAAGTCACGTAGAAGGGAAATAATAAAGTAATAAAAATAAAACATAATAAAATAATTCTCACGACGTTTCGGCCACAACGCAAGCAGCCGTCCTCAGGTGAAGAACAGGTCTGTCGGAAAGACAGCGTCTGAATGAAACAGCCTGGTGGTGTTTCATTCAGACGCTGTCTTTCCGACAGACCTGGTGGTCTTTCATTCAGACGCTGTCTTTCCGACAGACCTGTTCTTCACCTGAGGACGGCTGCTTGCGTTGTGGCCGAAACGTCGTGAGAATTATTTTATTATGTTTTATTTTTATTATTGTATTATTTCCCTTCTACGTGACTTTACCGAAAGAACCAAGAAGATGCCTACGACCGTCGTGTAAATGTGCGCTGAAGTGGCACGTAAAACGATAGCGGACACAAACACGAATCTTACATCGCTTTAACGAAAACAAAGCAAGGGTAACAATATATCCTGCATTGCACAAATAATTCAGTGTCACTCCTCGCCATTTGTAAAGCGGGCGAGCAGTGATGTTTAATCAGAGATCAGTGTAGAAATTATTCAACCGTACTAAACTTCACCTTCCGTATATACATCGGTATCTGAAAACCAAATTATAACTTTGGCCTCCAGTTGTTGGGATTTACTGCAGATACGAGTAAATGTGATAACATATAAAGTAAACAAAACTCTGTTCACACACAAATAAATCAAATGTGTTTAGGCATTGGCCATATTGGCTCTCCAGACGATATCATGATTCACCCCCCTCTTCCAATTCATACAGTTTTGTTCACACGATTATTCCATACGTAACAGCGTATAAATTACATAAGTTACGAGTAATTGATCCTCACGCACACGATTTTACTGCGAGATTAAGAATCAATTGAGCGTTGAAGGAATGTCGCATAAACGTACACGGTCCATGACGTTATTCTCCAACCAATGTGATCATGCGTTCGTGCCAACAATTCCACTGTGCACCTACATTTACAGCCCACGCCTTGCGCCTGCAGGCCGTGGGGGATATTTTGACTATACTTCACCAGGCTGGTTAGTGTGGGTTGGTGAAGGTGGGGAAAAAGGGGGGGGGGCGGGCAGAAAGCAATGGCGTTTGCTGCATTGCTCTTCTGCTGCCCACAATGCCTGCTACGCCTGTCTTTTGCGCTTGGTGATCACCCATCCAGGCACCATGCAGGCTAAATTCTGCTTGGCGTATTAGATTTCACAGTTTCGGGTGCATTCCATATGGTTTGGCCATAGGCTGAGAAAATCCTATAAACAGCTAAAAACGTTTGCGGAAGTGCAGTTGGACTCTGTTAGGTCAATTAGCTACGTAAAAACTAAACAATGCTTTTTTTATGTTACCATGTAAAGCCACTGAGCTATATAGCTCTTTTGCAGAAGCGACCTGGCCACAAATGATAGCTCAACGAAGTGGCTTATCATGTAGAAATGTAAACCAGCCAAATACTTTAGGTGCATGTTTCTAAATGTGGAGAGAAAAACCGGAGGACCCGGTGAAAAATCAACGCGACCACGGGGGTGAATATGCAAACTCCAAATATACAGGCGTCGGGGTTGGAATCAAATCCACGACCTCCTGTATACCAGGTGAGGCAATTAAGATCTCGCCACTGTGAAGCCATCAACATGCACAGTGGATGGCACCAACACATTGACTTTTAGGATGTCTGTATATTTTCCATAGATAAGTGAGGCTGAAGGATAGTTAAAGTAGGGTTTTCACGGCTGTGCTGCATAGCTCAGAGATGCCGTTTAAATCCGAACAGGTGGCACAACTTGACAACACATGGGAGAATGTCCAAAGCCTATGTCAACCCAACTGAACACTAAACAAAGGTTCATGATAACCTCATGATGACATATCTTGGTTACATATACAATTATGAAAGTATATGAGAATTGAACATTAATTATCTGTGAAGTACCATTCTGCATGAATTAATTAAGCCATAAATTAATGTTTACATTTCACACCAGAACCTCCATTTCCATACCATAATCTTAAAAATGGCCTCCTCCAGCAAAGGTGGTTGATTAACATTTTATTTATTAAAATACAACATTGTGTACTTAGATTGGCTACGCTCACGTAAAATATTTCACTTCACGTTATTTAAATGTAAACATTTTAGGAAAAAGTAAAATTACTGAAATAATTAAGCAAAACCAATTTCCAGCCGGTGACAGGGCACATTTTGCTCATGTACACAGTGGTGTGAGTGCTCAAGACGAGCAAACCAAACAAATGTTGATGCTGATTTCGGTACCATGATTAGGCAAGACAACGACATAAGCATGATTGCCATGAGCATAATATGTACTTTTTTATTCACAAATGCAGTTACTGCCAGCTGAATGTATAGCACAACATTAGTTACCAGATATTTTGGTAAAGAAAAAAAACGAGCCTAATTTACGATATCAGACCTTCTTAACAAAACATTGTTACCTAACTATAATATACTCTTAAACAAAATGCGTCTTTGTGCAGTGACAAAAAAAAATATTTTTCTTGTTTTACCAAAGTACGACTCGCAACACGAATGGTGTTAACGGAGTCGAGTTACCGTGAACCAATCAAGAGTCGGGTGCTCAAGGAGAGTGTTGGCTGATGTGGCCGACGTGGCTTTGCACCGCATCTGCGATGCGACAGCAGCTGATGACTCTGCAAGGTTATGGATGTGGTGGGTTCTGTGGGGGGGTGTCAGTGGAGGGAGGGGGGAGCAGCAGCCGCAGCACTGGCAATCTCGCACGCTCTTAGTTTTTTTGAGCATCTTTTAGCGAGTCAGTCGGGGAATCGTGGTGGTAATAGCACGTGGTGGCGGGGGAGGAGGAGGGGGGGTTTGAAGACAGAGGAGCACATGATGATGACGATGCCTCCGAATTTCCCCACAACAAGTCCACAGGTGAGCCACCTCTTCCACCGCCCCCCCACGCCGCTCCTCCTTGCCGCCACCGCCTCTCTGCCGTGGCGGCCCAGGTGGCGGGCGGTTATCCGTGGCCGTTATTGGAGAGGTAGGCGATGAGGGCGATGACGGTGCCGATGTAGAGCCCCGTTCCCACCGTGATGGAGAGGATGGCGAGGAAGAGGGCACGTCGCGAGGCGGAGTTGGCTCGCAGGTAGTCGCCCTTCGTCACCGCCTTGCTCGACTTCGTTCGCGGAAGGGAGAAGCGGAGGGGGGGGGTTAGACGGGAGGGTCGATAGAGCGGCGGATAAAGGGTCAACAATGGTCGTTTGGCATGATGGGACGGTCTGGCACGACGTTCGCTCCTTTGTTGACCTTCCCCCGATGTCTCAGGCTTCGCCTTGTCAAACAGGAGAGGGCACGAGGAGAGGGTTAACAAGGAAGGACTTTGTACGTGGCACGTGTGCATTTTCATCATGTCGCGATTGTCTCTCGTGCGTTTAATGTAATCGGGAACGTAGATGTCGTCAGAGCTATAATAATAACAATGCAAACAAGCCATGGGCCACATAGCTTTGTAAAGCCCGAAATATAACTTTGAAGGCGATGCACATGTAATTTGTCGAATCTCAGACATAGCAATTGCATGGCTAAATCGCTTACAAAGGAATCTATAATAGTTGCTCTTCGTAGGCCATACAAGAGCAAGAGGAGGCAGACAAAAGTAAGCGCACTCACATGCCAAAATGTGGTAGCAGTTTGTCACATGAGAAGATAACTGAGATGGCTTGTCATTCACCCAGCCAGGGAGATCGTAAGCACCAAGAGTCTGGGTGACTGTGTTAAAATCAAAAGGGCACTCTGCCATGTGACAATGAATCGTTGGTTGGCTTGCGCCAGTGAATTGTACAGCAAGGAGTGATTTGTTTTGACAAGAAGCAGCAAATGGCACCAAAATTTATTTTCTGCTGTGCAAGAGTCTCGGACACCTGGGCAGGCTCTGCATTGTGGATATGTTGGTTATTTGGAGTACACCTCTTGAATTACATGTCTTTTAGAATGTTTCACAATCCCGCCATTATCATCGTCGTCATCAGCCTTGCTCTAGTCATTGCTGGATGAAGGCTTCCCAAAGTTGCTGCCATTCCTCATGGCCCTGCAATGCCACAACCTATCTCTCTTCTGCATATGAGCTGATCTCATTTCTCCATCCGCTATAGGGGTTGTTACCGCCTTCAGCTAACAGTCTTTTGTCAGTCTCAGCCATCGACCGTAATCCCTTGACGATGTGTCCCACACACACCCACTTCCTTTCCCAAACAGTCAACGTGATGTATCTTAACTTATCTTATTTTATATGTATAGTGCGCCTTAGCTCAAGACGCTTTACATCGTTTAAAAGCGGTAACAAAAATAGAGCGCTTTAGAATGGCAAGGGCATGCAAGGGCCGAAGAACGAGTGACCTAACAGAGGCAATGTAGGCGACACAAAAGGGCAGGAGAGGGATGGGAAGGAGTGGAGTGGTGAGGGGAGGGAAGAGAATGGGCAATGAAGAAGAGGTGAGCATTGAGAGAGGAGTGGAAAGAGGTTAATGAGGGGGACTGTTTAATGTACAGGGGAAGATTATTCCAGTGGAGGGGTACAAAGAGGGGGGAAGGTTGAAATATTAGATTGGGCACAGGGAGAAGGAATATGTTCTCTAATAGACGTGTACCTCTCTCTAAGTGTACTACCATCATACACCACCTCTCTTATTTGAGCTCTGTTAGTGGCCACGGTTCCAATCCTTGACATAGCAGGAAATATGCACTATCACTTAGCAGACTTGAAATATATCAGTTAACTTGTTTCCTTTCTTAATTTTATATTAAAGTGTTAAGCTCCTTTTGATTTAACAAACTGTTTAATCCCAAGTAATATTTTAAGCATGTATGTTATGAAGACGTATAAGAGCATTTACAGACGAGTAAAATATTATTTGTTAGAGATGACATTTTACAGACGAAATTAATCCTCCATTTTAATAAAGCATCTGTCTCTGTTTTTCATCGTAACATTAACATTTTCAGCCCTTTCGCCAATACACTGCTGGATGAAGGCCTTCCAATGCTGTGTCGGTCATGGGGGTTGGTTGACCATACTTCACCATGCTGGTCAGTACGAGTTTTTGAAGAGAGGGGGGGGGGGCGCAACCAGTTGAGATATCACCAATTTTAGCAACGGCTGGGAATTGAACTCGGATCGCTGTGTTCACAAGCGCAGCGCACTAACCACCAAGTTGCTGCTCCACCCCAATAAGAGTGGTCAACAAATAGTGTACAGTAATTTCTAAATTTGTGTGTTTTTTTTAAGTTAACGTGAAATATTTTGACTCGTTTGAAATAAATCGAAGTGTGAAATTTGTATCGGTTGGGTAAATGATAAGGCCAACATCTTGACTACAATCAGATATAATACCTCATTTAAGTCAGGGTTTACTGACTGGCTTTGGCGTTATAGTAAATGTACTACCTATAGCATGTTATCAAACTTACATTGTTGATGACATTAATAAGACAATTGCCTTTCAAATCACTTGGCAATAGCTTCTGTTTGTGTATAATGTGTTTATATAAGTTGTAGAGCGGTGGCATGGTGGTTAGCACACTCTGCTGTAAACCTAAGCAACCTCAGTTCGATTCCCAGCCACTGCTAACATCAGTGGTGAGTGATATCTAAATCAATCCTGGGATCCCCCACCACCAACCCACACTGACCAGTATGGTGAAGTATGGTCAGTCAACCCTCATGACCGACATGGCATAGGAAGGCCTTCATCCGCAGTGGATCAACAAAGGATTGTAAATAATTTGTATGGAAATAATACAATATTTAATATAAATACTGTACTCTATATATCATATTCTGCTCTATAATTTACAAGTAGCTCTAATTTGATTTGCAACTAGAACCAAAACACAATCATCATCTTGCTCATTACGGTTATAATGTGTGAACCAGTTAGATAGGCCGATTATTTCTAGCCACTATATCATGATATATCCCCCCACGTACGTATATCTGTGAATGCAAGCACGCTCGGGTCAACAAGGGAGCCTAATGTCAGGAGCAAAACATGTCCAGGAGAAAAAGCCTCGCCAGAGCAAGATTATGAAGCCAATTATAGTTGCATGTAACCCTTGGGGGAATAAATGTCGAATTTCCCCAAAAGGCGATGGCTTCAGAAAGCGTGGGTCGGGTGAGCATAACCACCGGCCTCCGCGTCGCGCCAAGGACACTAGCTCGACTGTGCTCAGTTGCACAAGGTCGGGGTCAGAGGTCGCAACCGGGTACCCGATACCCGTATCCTACCCGATACCCGGCTACCCGTACCCGGCCGGGTACGGGTACCCGTTTGCAACCCTGGTGCGGCCGGGTACGGGTACGGGTAAGGAATCAAAACCCGTTTGCGACCTCTGGTCGGGGTTGATTTGATCATTTTATTTCATTAACATCGTGCAGATAAGCCACGGCCAACACACACTAAAAAAAACTCTCAGAAGACTTTGATTAGGTTTTTTTTTTGCTTTTCTAAACCATCTCCTTGCATGAATTATAAAAACAAACCTCCACCCCCACCCAAATCACAAAAAAAACTAACGTTGGTATCACGTGATTAATAGATGTACAAAGACTCCTCAAATAAGTTGAAACGGCGATGTACAATGGCATAGCTGCCGCATACATCATAGCAGTCCACCACAGTGAACATCATGCATGAGAGGGTATACAGTATTAATTTTTGATAACAAAAAAATAACACTTTAATCTGCGAGAACACTCTTCTTGGTTCTTTCGGTAAAGTCACGTAGAAGGGAAATAATAAAAATAAAACATGAAATAATATTATTTTATTATGTTTTATTTTTATTACTTTATTATTTCCCTTCTACGTGACTTTACCGAAAAAACCAAGAAGATGATTCCCTGCAGTCACGAAAGCTTTAAATCGAAAAAAAAAATCTGCGAGAATACTGCCAAAAGCTCTCTTGATATTTTAAAGTTTCCAAACATTGTGTTTATTTCTTTCACCAATTCACTGTTGGATGATGGCATTTCCATGCTGTGCAGTTCTTGGGGGTTATTTGACTATACTTCACCACGCTGGTCAGTGTGGATTGGCGAAATCAGGCAGTACAGACGTTAGTGTATGTAGTACAGTACAATACTGGATTTGACTGCTCTCATACTGTACTTTACATACTACTTTACATTCTATTGTACGCAGAATATGTGCTACGAATGGACATTGCTAGAAACGTCGCTGATGACATTTTTTATTTTAAGGTAGTATGGTTGACGAGTGTGAATTATTTGTTAATAGTGTTTGTGCGCCACTGCCAGCAAAAAAATTATTTGTCACCAAATAATTTTTTATACAAAATCTGGTTGTTATCGTTGTTCTGTGTATCTTGGCAGTTTAATAATTTGGGTACATTTGGTTGTAATGAATTGGACTTTAATTATGAAAATTTCCCCACCGGCACATATTTAACTCCCAAGGCTTCTTCACACCACAGTAATTCGAGCTTTTCATTAGCCCGATCTCTGGAGTGTTTCTCCTGAGCATGAGCTACGTTGCTTTTTAGCACTTTAGCAATTTAATTTTAATTGTCCTAGCATATCTTGCACAGCAGATAGAAGTGGCATAAAACATGTCCTGGTCTTCATAATAAAGGCTTTTGGGTTAGATCGCGTAAGTATAAATGTGTCGCAACCCTCCATCACCCGACACGGCCAATCAGTAAAACATGTGTCACGTTGACAAAACGCCAATTAGTTACTTCTTCAGCCCAGCGGTGTGTTTGAAGAGTGAATCCACAACATTTAGAATTTGAGCACGACGTTTTGCTGGGAATGACATCCAACAGCTTCGGGCAATTTGCCAGAATAGTGAAGCTATCCACCTGCTTCCGGTCTTAAATAGTGCAGGATGACGTCATCATTGAACCCCATCAGGTTTAGAGATCAGAGGCGGAGGAGGGGGGGGGGGTATTGTAATATTATAATAGAATAATAATCAGTTCATTAGTATGTGATTCCTCTATAAGGAAATGGAATATGTATTGTGTATTACTTAACAATATGCTTCCAGGATGTGCTAAGTCTGTCGCTATCAGAGCGGTTAAATTTATTGGTATTTCTCTCAATTTCGATGGATTCTCTAATTAGTCTTGGCCAGTAATAATTAGTTTTGCATAACA